ATTTATTTGACAGAGAGAGATACAGCGAGAGAGGGAACACAAGCAGGGGGAGTGGGAGAGAGAGAAGCAGGCTTCCCACCGAGCAGGGAGCCCGATGGGGGGCTCGATCCCAGGACTCTGGGATCATGACCTGAGCCGAAGGCAGACGCTTAACGACTGAGCCACCCAGGCGCCCCTGAACTGATGTCATTTTTTAAAAAAACGTCTTGCCAGTGAACAAGAAAAACGCTCCAAGAGAAAACAAGCAGAGAATACAAGGAGGGAATTTACAAGAGAAGAAAGCCAGAGTGCTAACAAGTGTTTCAAGAGATTTTCCAAGCCATGAGTAATCAGACAAAACTGCATTAAGATACATCTTTCATCTATTGAACTGACAAATATTAGAAATCCAAATAAATTTTCATTTATTGGATTAAAATCTCATATACTCCATTCCAGATTTCACTTTATTTTTTATTTTATTTATTTTATTTTTTTTGAGAGAGAGAGAGCATATGAGTGGTGGGGACTACAGGGAGAGGGAGAGAAAGAATCTTAGGCAGGCTCCAAGCTGAGCACAGAGCCTGATGTGGGGCTTGATATCATGACCCCAGCCAAAATCAAGAGTCAGACACTTAACCAACTGAGCCACCCAGGTGCCACATTCCAGATTTTAAAAGGCTGACCATGCTGAGTGTTAGTAAGGGTGTGGAGAAACTCAAGTCTCATACACTGCTGATGGGAATGTAAAATGGTACAACCACTTAGGAAAACAATTTCATACAAAGTTACAGACCCATCTGTAATAAAATCCAGCTGTCTACTCCTAGGTATTTTCCAAGAGAAATGAAAGCACAGCATCCATACAAAGACTTGTGCATGAATGTTCCAGGCAGTGTTATTCATAATAGCCTAGAACTGGAAATAATCCAAATGCCCATCAACAGGTGAATGGGTAATCAAACTGATCACCATTGATAAATCAATAATTTTCAACAGTAAAAAGGAATGAACTCTTGATACACACAACAACATAGATGAGTTACGTAAAGTGAAAAAAGACAAAAAGAGCCCATGCTGGGGGTTCCTGGGTGGCTCAGTGGGTTGAGCAGCCCACTCTTGGTTTCGGCTTGGATCATGATCCCAGGGTCATGGGATTGAGTCCCATGTCAGGCTCCACCTTCGGCGGGGAGTCTGCTTGGGTTTCTCTCTTCCCTTCTGCCCCTCCCCCTGCTTGTGCTCTTTCTCTTTCTCTCGAGCTTTATCTGTCAAATAAATAAATAAAATCTTTAAAAAAAATTAAATAAAAAAGAATAGAGCCCCAGAGATCACAGGGTAAAGTTCAAGATTGAGGAGAGGGGGCAGTGTTAAGTTGTCTCCCGTTTTCTCTTTGCAGGCTGATTTACCATGACCTCTTCAGAGATCCTCTCAGCTGGTCACAGACTGGGGAAGCCCTTCCAGGGGGACCCCTGGGAGCCTTGCAAGCCATGTGCAGGAGGACAGATCCTGGTCCTTTCACCATCGCTCTCGATTCACTGAGCTGGCTGCTGCTGCACCTTCCCTGTACTGCCCTCTGCCAGGCGCTCTGTGCCTTGAGCCATCAACACTCCCGCCCTGGTGACACTTCCCTTTGTTCTTCTCATACGCTTTCCCCTGCCAAGGAACAAGCCCCTTTCCAGCCTAAGAAAAAACATACTAGAGATCTCCAGTTGTGCCTTATTCCATATCTTTAATGTTTATTCTCGTTCTTGATTATTCCATGATGTCATCTATCAGTCACTTTATTGTTTCTTTTCCAAGTTCGTTCTTACTTGTTGGTTTCATTCATGCACTCAACGGATAAGAATTGTGCAATGTGTCAGGCACAATTCTAGATGATGGGAAGGTAAAGACTAATTCTAGTCAGATTTTTGTTCAAAGTCCCGTAAAGGACACAGATAAATAAGCAATTACAAGGTAGTCTGATAACAGTAGTAGTAATAAAGGAACAGGCACAGAGCGCCTTAAGCGGAGTTTGCTAGGCACATTTGGGCAGACCAGGGGCCCTGGGACTAGCCCTGAAGTATGCTGTGCGTGCTACAGTGGACTCTGGAATCAGACACCCAGCTTTGTGTTCAGGTGTTTGATCTCTCAGTGTTTCAGTTTACTCTATACAAGCAGGAAGGGGGGAGTGGGGTGAATGGATAACGGTAGGATGAACCATTTGGAATCCTGTCTTGGTAGGTCAGATACACATACGTGTCAAGTAACAGCAATTTCATGTGGTTCGACCTAAAAATGCTGGCCTTTGTAAGGACTGAAACGTGAAAGGATTTGGTGCAGTGCCTAACGCCTTGTCAATACGCCCAGAAAGGGAGAGGGAAAGTTGAGGGAACCAAAGGCATTGAGTGGGATCACAGTGTAAAGGTCCCAAACCTGCAAGGAGTTCAGCGTGTAAGAGACGAAGCTGGAAACTAGGCGGAGAGCAGATGAGGAAGGGGTTGATTCCATCCGTTGGGCAGTGAGGAAGGAGCTCCTGAGGACTGAAGTCCGAGTGGACCGTGTTCAGATTCACAGTAACGAGGTGAGGCCCGAAGCAGGCTCCAGAGCTGTCAGACCAGCCGAGGGAGGTCAGGACCAGCAGAGCCGTGATGGAATGTGGCCTCACCTCGAGTGCTCCTCCTCTGCTCTTCGAGCCCAGGCCTCCATCCTGAGTGTGCCCCACCCTCCTTGTCCCTCCAGGTGGCAGCTGCCTGGCCGAGCCTGTGCGAGTGCTAGGCCTGCTGCATGAAGAGCTCCATGGCCCAGGCCCCCTGGGAGCCCTGAGCAGCCTGGCCCAGACCGAAGTGACCCTGAGCGGGGCAATGGGCCAGGCTTCGGCCCACATCCTCTCTCGGAGGCCCCGACAGCGCCCAGCCCTTCAGGTCAGGAGAACCCCCAGGGAAGCATGGGAGGTCGAGCGCAAGTAAGAAGGGGAGTAAGAGAGCTGATGTGAGGGAACGCTTCCCCGTGTGTCGTCATTTCCCTCACTGAATCTTCACGGCTACCCCGTGAGGTGGATGGTTTCATTATCCCCATTGAGCGGCTTGGGGAAGGTTACCCAGGGTTCCAGAGAGTGAGTGGTAGAGCCAGGATTTGAACTCAAGATTGCCTGACTCGGATCCCGTGAGCTTAAGTGGGAGGAGGTGTCATCTTCCAAGAAATGGCAAAGGACAAAAGCCTGGGAGCGGTTCCTGGGGGAGAAGGAACGGGTCCTGATGGAGACGTTTGAGGAAGAGCTGAGGAGGGAGGAGCAGGAGCTGCAGGCGGCCCATTCCGTAGTTGCCCCGGGGGCCAGGGCAGTTCGGTCCGAGTTCTCCGTGGTTTGCTCCGTAAGATGGAAAACACCTTTCTGTTCTTACTCTTTCTTCTCCGCAGACTCAGTGGTTCTCCATCCTGCCCGACTTCAGCCTGGATCTCCAGGGGGAACCCCCGCTAGAGTCCCAGCCCCACCCAGATCCTCACACCCCCCCGGTATCTAAGGGTGCCGGCGCCAGAACAAGGGATTGGAGGGTGGGGTCGGGGATTCCAGCCATGAGGCAAAGGGACAGCATCCTTTGTACCTTCAGGTGGACCCCACAGCTCATGTGACCTTTAACCTTCACCTGTCCAAGAAAGAGAGAGAAGCCAAAGACAGCCTGACGCTGCCCTTCCAGTTCAGCTCTGAAAAGTAAGGTTGGGGGTGAGGTGCCTGGGTTCTTGAGTAGAGCCCAGCATCTGGGCCTGGGATGGGAGTGATAGCAGGTTATTGGTTAACCTCCCAGACTTTATAGGGGCTGAAGTCCGCCTCCAAAGACAAGTCTGGGGAGTGGTTCTCTATCCACTCATTCTCCCAACAAGGCAAAAGGTTCTTTATGTCTCTTCTCTCCAGTAGAGCCTTGGGTCACAGAGCAATCTGGGTCTGGGCTGAGCCAGCCCATACCCTGGGGAAGTGGCCCTACCAATCTCTAGGCAACAGTGCTGGGAGGCCAGGAAGCTAGATGGGTGTGGCGGGCAGGTTAATAACGGCTTCAGTATATGCCTGTTGTTCTCTGCCCAGTGTGTGGGTGGGTGAAGCAAGACTGTGGCAGGATCCTTGCCCTCAAGCTGCTAAGAACGTGAGGTGTCATTAGGAGAACAGTTCTAAGCGTTTCTATTCCAGTACCAAGTGGTGCTTCCATACCAACTAAACAGGGAGGTCAGAGAAAGAGACTCGGACCAAGAAGAAAGAGAGTATGCAGCAGACATGATTCCTCCCCTCCCCGCCCCCCAGCACCAACTCTCCCCTTCTCCCTTCTCAGACAGCAGGCTCTACTGCGTCCTGGGCCTGGCCAAGCCACCAGCCACATCTTCTATGAGCCAGATGCATATGATGACCTGGACCAAGACGACCCAGATGATGACCTGGATGTTTGACTGGCCTGGAATTGGAAGGGAGGAGAAAGACCTTGGACCCATAACCATCCTCCCATTGTTTGCATTGGCCTTGCCCTGTCCCTGCCCCCACCTTTGTTCTCGGGTCTGCAGAGGCCCTGCCCCAAGACCTCTGAGTCAGAGTAACTTCCCATCTGGACAGAATGTGGGGAAGGGGCCTTAGGGGAAGGTGCCTAATAAAGTCTTTATTTTTCTACGGAAAGGAACTGGGGTAGCTAAGCAAGAGTTGGCAGCAGAAGGGACTGAAGAATGGGAAGAGGTAGGGAAACCAGGCACTTGAGTCTGTTAGAGTCAGTGGTCAGAGTTGGGGCCTGAATGACAAGGAATGGTGCCACAGGGAGAGCCTTGCACACCATGGGTGCTCAGTACATGCTCTGTTTCAAGCCGAAGCAGGTGCATTTAAAGGTTCCAGGTTCCCTGCAAGGATTTGGGTTGGAAGAAAGCAGAGGCCCTGAAGGGGAAAAAAAGAAGCCTACTTTTTTCCAAAACATACTTTTTTATTACCGTACAAAAAGCACACCCAATCCCCCTCTTTTGTCTCCCTCACCCCTCCTCCCCTCCCCCCACCCCCACCCCGGGGGAACTGTACATGGTACACCTGGCTGGAGTGACGAGGCTTCTGCCCCACAGCCCGCCCACCGGCTGAGATCTGCCCCAGGTCATTTCGGGTACCTAACCACACCAGAGGCTGCCAGGCTGGGGCAAGGGGGTCCCAGCTCACACGTACTCCTTGGCAGAGTTGGGCTTAGGGTAGGAGCGGGGTGCACGGTACCCGGTTTTGCCCTCACTCCCAGGACAGGAGCAAGAGAGCAGGGCACCTCCCAGGATGACCAGAGCAGACCCTGCCCAGCCAACGAAGATGGCAGGACCAAACTCGTACCTATGGGGAGAGAGGGTTGGGGTCAGAAACCCTGCTGTTCCTGACGCCAGGAATCCAGACCTGGCGTCCCCTTAGGAGGCAGGGCTCCCATACTTACTTAAGATTCATGGGGACCAATGCGCTATAAAAGTCTGTGACAATCTGGTGGCCGTACCAGGAACAAGCTACCAAGGCAGCAAGACCTGGAGACAGGATGGTTAAGATGTATTAGGAGACCCCCAAACCAGCACCTTGCACACCTTCACTCCCAGACGCAGGGGGAGAGCTCACCTGACACGATGAAAATGAAGCCTCCGGTCATGGCTATCCGGGCCTTCTTCACTTTGTCGTCGCCCCCACAGTTTGTGCACTTCATGCCCGTGGTGGCCACGAACATGGCCAGGAAGCCCAGCACCAGGGATACCACCATCAGGGCTCGGGTGGCCTGCAGGGCCGCTGCGGGAAAGGGGGAAGGACGCCCTCGTTGCTGGACGTGCGGACGGCTCCGGCCTTCGAGTCGCCGTGGGCCGCTGGCCTGGGGCCCCTTGGGCGCCCAAGTCCCGGCCGCAGCGGGTGGATCCCGCCCCTCCCGGCTCCGCGGCCTTCCCGCCCCGCCCTCTCTCGGCCCTGGGACCCGCCCGGGGCGCAAGGGTTTCGATGAAACTGCCCCGGGAGGAGGGTAAGGGGGCCGGGGCCCGCGGCGGGGAGCAGAGGAGGCGGCCCGAGTCCCCGCGCTGGGCCGCACGGCCCGGCCCACGGCCCAGCGCTGACCCCGCTATCGTGGCCACCGGGTTTGTGGCTTCGGCTAATCGGCCGATAAGATTACAGGCCGCAGGGGCGCCTGGGTGGCTCAGTTGGTTAGGCGACTGCCTTCCGCTCGGGTCATGATCCTGGAGTCCCGGGATCGAGTCCCGCATCGGGCTCCCTGCTCAGCAGGGAGTCTGCTTCTCCCTCTGACCCTCCCCACCTCATGCTTTCTCTCTCTCTCAAATAAACAAATAAAATCTTAAAAAAAAAAAAAAAGATTACAGGCCGCAGGCGGCGTCCCAAGTCTGACAGAGCGCATGGCTCCTCGGCCGACCCCGCGCCCTCCGTCCCGCGCCGCCTTTTGTCGGGGAGAAAGGGCGGGAGTCGGAGGCCGCCACCTGCGCGCGCCGGCGGGGGGAGGAGAGCGCTGGAGGGGCTTGGGCCGCCAGGCGCGGCGGTGGGGGGGGAAGGGAGCCCAGCCGG